AAAAAAAAAAGCAAATCTGTCAGAAGGAATTGAAAAGCCTCAAGCATTGTGCAACATGACTGAAAAATGCTGCCCAAGATGGAGTTCTTCCCACTTAAAAAAAGTAAAAAAAAAAAAAAAAAAAAAAGCCAAGTTGGCTGGAAAGAGTAGAAACAGCAACTTGAAGATAATGGAGGATTTCAAACAAATGAGTGAAATAAATAGATCTATGACATCTATGGACAAATGTTACCTTTCTGTGTGTAACTTTATTTACCAAATATGAAGGATATATAAATACAGTGTCAGAAATATAAAATTCACTTTGTAAGGCCCTAGAAGTCACCGCCACAAGTCAACAAAATACAGGTATCCTCGGAGCTACTGTAGCTTGGGTTGCAGACCACCACAATAAAGCAAATATTCAAACCACGTCAAACGAATTTCTTGGTTTCCCACTCCACATACAATTATGTTTACATTACACTGTAATCTTTTAAGTGTATGATAGCATTATGTCTAAAAAACAGTAATATATACCTTAATTAAGAAATATTTTATTGCTAGGGGCTCCTGGGTGGCTCAGTCGTTTAGCGTCTTCCTTCGGCTCAGGTCATGGTCCTAGGGTCCTGGGATCGAGGCCCGCACTGGGCTCCCTGCTCAGCGGGAAGCCTGCTTCTCCCTCTCCCACTCCCCCTGCTTGTGTTCCCTCTCTCGATGTGTCTCTCTCTGCCAAATAAATAAATAAAATTTTAAAAAAAAGAAATATTTTATTGCTAAAAATGCTAACCATCATCTGAGCTTTCAGCCAGTAGACACCTTTTTGCTGGTGGAGGGTCCTGTCTCAATGCTGACGGCTGCTGACTGGTCAGGGTGGGGGTGCTGAAGGCTCGAGTGGCTGTGGCAGCTTCCTAAAATGATACAACAAAGTTTGCAGCAGTGACTGACTCTTCCTTTCAATAATGATCTCTCTGTAGAACGTGATGCTGTTTGCTAGCATTTTACCCACAGCAGAACTTCTTTCAAAATTGGAGCCAATCCTCTCAAACCCTGCCACTGCTCTGTCAACAAAGTTTATGAAATATTCTAAATCCTTTGTTGCCATTTCAACAGTCTTCACAGCATCTTCACCAGGAGTAGATTCCATCTCAAAAAACCACTTTCTTTGTTCATCCATAAGAAGTAACTCCTCATCCATTAGGTTTTATCATGAGATTGTAGCAATTCAGCCACATCTTCAGGCTCCACTTCTAAACCTAGTTCTCTTGCTGTTTCCACCACATCTGCAGTGACTTCCTCCACTGAAGTCTTGAACTCCTCCAAGTCATCCACGAGGGTTGGAATTGACTTCTTCCAAACTCTTGTTAATGCTGATATTGTGATCGCTTCTCATGAGTCATGAATATTCTTCATGGCATCTAGAGGTATGAATCCTTTCCAGAAGATTTTCAACTTACTTTGCCCAGATCCCTTAGAGGAATAACTCTCTATGGCAGCTATAGCCTTAGGAAATGTATTTCTTCAATAACAAGACTTGATCCAGGGGCTGTAGAATGGATGTTATGTTAGCAGGCATGAAAACAACACTCTCTCATTGTACATCTTCATCAGTGCTCTTAGGTGACCAGGTGCACAGTCAATAAGCAGTAATATTCTGACAGAAATCTTTTTTTCTGAGGTCTCAACAGTGGACTTAAAATATTCAATGACCATGTTGTGGACAGATGTGCTGTCATCCAGGCCTTGTTGTGCCGTTTATAGATGAAAGACAAAGTATATTTAGCATAATTCTTAAGGGTCCTAGGAGTTTTCAGAGTGTTAAATGAGCACTGGCTTTAACTTATAGTCACCAGTTGCATTAGCTTGTAATAAGAGTGTGTCCTTTGAAGCTTTGAACCCAGGCACTGACTTCACTTCTCTAGGTATCAAAGTCCTAGACAGCATCTTCTTGCAATAGAAAGCTGTGTGATCTACATTGAAAATCTGCTGTTTAGTGTAGCCGCCTTCATGAATTATCTTAGCTGGAACTCCTGGTTAACTTGCTACAGCTCCTACATCAGCAGGTGCTACTTCATCTTGCACTTTCATGTTACGGAGATGGCTTCCTTAAACCTCATGAACTAACCCTTGCTAGTTTCAGACTTTTCTTGTACAGCCTCCTCACCTCTCTTAACCTTCACAAAATTGAAGAGAGTTAGGGCCTTGCCCTGGATTAGGCTTTGGCTTAGAAGACTGTTGTGGCTAGTATGACCTTTTGTCCAAACCACTAAAACTTTCTCTACATCAGTAATAAGTCTGTTTGCTTCCTTATCGTGTGTGTACACTTGAGTAGCACTTTTAATTTCCTTCAGGAACTTTTCTTTTACAGTCAAAAGTTGCTAACTATTTGGTGCAGGAGGCCTAACTTTCAGCCTATCTTGGCTTTCAACATGCCTTTCTCACTAAACTTAATCATTTCTAGCTTTTGATTTAAAGAGACGTGTGACTCTACCCTTCACTTGCACACTCACAGGCCACTGTGTGGTTAACTGGCCTAATTTCAGTATTGCTGTCTGTCAGGGAATAGAGTCCCAAGGAGAGAAAGAGAAATGGGGAAAGGGCAGTCAGTGAAGCGGTCAGAACACACACATTTATTAAGTTTGCTGTTTTATTTGGGCATGGTTTGTGGCAAACCAAAAACAGTTACAATGGTAACATCAAAGATCACTGATCAGAGATCACTGTAACAAATACAGTAACAGTGAAAAAGTTTGAAATACAGCAATAATTACCAAAACGTGACACAGAGACATGAAATGAGCAACTGCTGTTTGAAAAATGGTGCCAACAGGTTGTTAGACACAGGGTAAAAAATGCAGTATCTGGAAAGTGCACTAAAGCGGAGCACTGTAAGACGAGGTATGCCTATAAAGTGAGGCTGAGGCTGAGGTCGATGGCTGCCAGTGGAGTGAACCATTCCACAGGTAGTAGGACCTCACAAAGATGACAAACAAAAGTTTAAAAAACAATCCCAAGACAAAAATCACAAGGGCAGATGCTCCAAGTTCCAGGTGTTGACTTGAGATCTAGTTGGGGGTTTGGGAGTTTTTTGTTCTTTTTTGGGTAACAATTTGTAAGATATATTTATATATTAGGAAAAACTACTCTTTTTCTGTCATGGGATATAAATATGCCCTAATTTATTAATAGTAAAGGAGTAGGCTGGCCTCTATAAACCAGTGGGGGTCGAAATGTGCTCTGAGAACCCCATGGTGGCCCTGCGGAGGCTGCTGTAGGAGTTTGGGGGTCCTCAGGCTGAGACAAATTCTAAAGATTTTAGAGACAAATTCTAAAGAAAACTTCACTTTTGTGTGTTTTGACACTGTGCTTCCATGGAAAGGTCTGGTTTGATGAATGTATTTAAACGCTTTAAAACTTTTTTTTTTTTTAAGATTTTATTTATTTATTTGAGAGAGAGAATGGGAGATAGAGCATGAGAGGGGGAAGGGTCAGAGGGAGAAGCAGACTCCCTGCTGAGCAGGGAGCCTGATGCGGGACTCGATCTTGGGACTCCAGGATCATGACCTGAGCCGAAGGCAGTCGCTTAACCAACTGAGCCACCCAGGCGCCCCAATGCTTTAAAACTTTTAAATGAGTTTGAAAATTACTGGTCTGTATCAATGCTTCTCAGAAAATCTATGGTAAAGAACAATGTATGTATTTCTAATCTGCCAAACTGCTATTTCTGAAAAATATAAAAATCATGCATCTGATGTCATGGCAATGTCAAATTGCTATAAAAGTCTTTAAACGTTTACTCTCACATTCTGCACTCATGTCACTGCAGACCAGAAACACACCTCTAACAGGTATTAGTCTGCAAAATCTAAGGTCATTTCCAATCACAGTATGAGATTAATTCAAAATTCAATTACTAAGTGTAAATAAACTGATTAGATATGAAAGATGAAGAAATCAAATGTGATTCTAAATTTGTGAAAATTTTTTTTTAATTGGGTAATGCTTCAAATAATTTTTGTCAGGGGCACCTGGCTGGCTCAGTCGGTTAAGCATCTGCCTTCAGCTCAGGTCATGATCCCAGGGTCCTGGGATCAAGTCCCGCATCGGGCTCCCTGCTCAGCGGGGAATCTGCTTCTCCCTCTGCTGCTCCCCCTGCTCATGGGCACACGCTCTCTCTTTCTCTCAGATGAATAAATAAAATCTTTAAAAACAGTAACTTTTGTCATAAAAACATGGAAATTTAACTTCTGTAACAAATACTGTTTGTAACACTAGAACAACAGATCTCAAAGGAGCAGTTACTCCCAACCTAGAATGTT